AGATCCATGCGATGAGTGAAGGTGCGAGGGCATTGTGGGCAGTGGAGGCGAGTGCGGTGGGTGTAGGTTGGTGCTCCAGGCACTGGTTCGCCAGTCTCTGTGCGATGGATTCGCAAGTGACCGACCAGGCCGATGTGTGAGGGGAAGGTGCGGTCACAGTGAGGGCAGGTGTAGTCCTGATCCTCATCACTGGAATCGGGAGGGGTGGGGGTGGTTGCGGTTGTTGTGTCGTGGTTGGCGATGTGTGAGACGGCAGCCTGAACGGCCACCGCTGGGGCAGTGGAGGAGAAGGAGGAGGATGGAAGTGGTGGTGCAGAAGGAGTGTCAGAGTTAGTTGGCGGAAGAGAGGACGAGGAAGAGGCGGGCGGGTGGACGATGGCTGGAGCAGTTCGAGAGGTGCAGTTGGTTCGGAGATGTCCAACAAGGCCGATTCGTGCCCGGAATGTCCGTTGACATCGAGGACACGTAGGGGGAGGTTGTGCGGCGGCGTTGCGGACTCGGCGAAGTTGTGATATGCGGGCTTCGCGTTTCGCTTTGGCGGCGGCGATTCGGTTGGCTTCATATATAGCAGTGCCCGTCTTCACTGTTCTCCTCCATGTCGGACGATCGCAAGCGAGCTCTTCCCAGTTGGTCGGGTTGATTTGCAGGCGCTTCAGGGAGGACTTCAGGGTATCCTTGTATCGATGAATTGGGCCTCCTTGACGACGAGAACTCGTCGCGACGTCTCCGTAGAAGAGTCGTTTGGGTAGTCGCTCGTCGTCCATGCGCACCAGGTGGCCGCTCCAGCGCAGCTGCATTTGTTTCAGTATGGCGTAGACGCTGGGGATTCCCGTTCGTTCCAGTACTTCCGTGTCGGGGATTCTATCCTGCCAGTTCAGCCTCAGGATGCGACGGAGACAACTGAGGTGGAAGTGGTTCAGACGGCGTGCCTGCCTCGTGTACACCGTCCATGTCTCTGCTCCGTACAGTAACGTCGGCAGGATGACGGCCTTGTACATCTTCAGCTTCGTGCGCAGTTTGAGACCGTGGCGATTCCAAACTATGCTTCGGAGGCGTCCGAAGGCTTGACTGGCTTTCGAGATCCTGTTGGCGACTTCGTCATCAATCTTGGTGGTGCGGGAGAGAGTACTGCCCAGATACGGGAAGTTCTCCACCACTTGCAGTAGGGTCCCATTCACGCTGATTTGCGGCGACGCGTTGGGGGCTGTGGCTGAGTTGGGCGGCGATTGGTGCATCACCACCGTCTTGTGCGTGTTGATGACCAGACCGAAGTTCTCGCAGGCGGCGGAGAATAGGTCCATGCTCCGTTGCATCTCCTCTTCCGAGGTGGTGTTCAGGGCGCAGTCGTCGGCGAAGAGGAGTTCGTGCACGGTGGCTGTGGATACACGCGATTGGAAGTTCATGCGCCGGTGATTCAGGAGATGACTGTCCGTTCTGTAGGCGATGCGGATTCCAGGGCGTTCGTCGCGGTAGGCGTCCATCAGCATGGCAGAGAACATAAGACTGAAGAGGGTTGGTGCCAGTACACAGC